TGGGCAGTTTTCTTTTAATATTTCTTAAAATCTAGGATCTTGTTTTGGTCAGGCACTCAAGTAGTTTGATGATTCTTAAATTTTTTTCTCTTTGATCTGTTTTCCAGGTCAGTTGCTTTTGGTATGAGATGCTTTATGTTTTCTTCTATATTTTTAGTCTTTTGATTTTTTTTTTAGTCTTTTGATTTTTCAAAAAATATTTCTTGTTTTCTCATGGAGCCATTGGCTTCTATTTTGTCCATTCTAATTTTCAGGGAGTTTGTTGGTTGGTCAAGGTTTTGTGCCTCTTGTGCCAAGCTATTCATTCCTTTGCCAATTCTTTCTTCCATAGCTCTCATTTATTGTCCAACTTTTTCTTCTAGCACTCTCATTTCATTGACAATGACATTTTTCACTTTTTAAAATTCTTGGTTCATGTCTTCCAGGAATTCTATTGAATTTGTGTCCGAACTGTTTTGTTTGTTTGTTTGTTTTTGGCTAGGCAATGGGGTTAAGTGTCTTGCCCAGGGTCACACAGCTAATAAGTGTTATGTGTCTGAGGCTGGATTTGAACTCAAGTCCTTCTGAGTCTAGGGCCACCTAGCTGCCCCTCCAAACTGTTTTAATTTGAGATTTTGCTTGTTAATATTTTGGAGTAATTTTCTTCTTCTAGATTTGTATCCTGAGTGTTCCTGTCACTATTTATGGCTTTTATGGTGAGAGTCCTTTTTTGTTTGCCTGTTCATCCAACCTACTTCCTAACTTCAGACTTGATGTTAGGACTGGGCTCTATGTATTTCTGTAGTGAAGATCTGGTCTGGTCCTGTTGGTGCTTTCTTGGGGGTATTGAGTATTATGTTGTTCCATGATCTCAGGGGCAGCTCAGGCTTGGGACCTGCAAGCTTTCAATGCTCACAAAGTGGTCTTATCCAGGGCAAAGTCTGATTGCTGCACTCTTGGTCTGAATTCTGCAAGTTCCTAAGCAGGGTTTGGGTCTGAGCAACAGTAGTCTGCTGTTGGAATCTGCCACTATTAGCCAGCTGAGAAGCTCTGCTGGTTCAGAGGGTCAGAATTGCAGGCTCATCTTTGGTCTGTGATATGGCCTTAACTGGTAAACCAGCTGTGAGTGGCCAAAAAGCATGTCTCTGATTCCAATGAACTTTGGTTCTAGATGTTACCAGCTTGTCGGTTGATAGCTAACCTCTTCTGAGCTAAACTCCTTGAAAAAAACCTTATATACTTATTACCTCCACTTCCTTTCTTTTCACTCACTTCTAAGTCCTTTGGGCTTTTGATCTTATCATTCAACTAAAACTGCCCTCTCTAAAGTTCCCAGTGACCTCTTAATTGTCAAATTTAGTGGCATTTTTTCAATCCTTATCCTTCTTGACTTCTCTAAAACCTTTGACACTGTTGATCATCTTCTCCTTCTGGATATTCTCTCCTCTCTAAGTTTTCATGATAATGATCTCTCCTGGTTCTCTTCCTACTTATCTGACCACTCCTCAGTCTCCTTTGCTGAGTCCTCTTCCAGGTCACACTTGTAAACCGTGGGTGTTCCCCAAGGCTCTCTCCTGGGCCCTCTTCCTTTCTCCTTCTGTACAATTTCTCATGGTCATCTCATCAGCTTTCATGACTTCATCTATATGCTGACAAAAGAATTTTAAATGTAGTCTGAACTGGACCGGTCTCTAACCTGTGACTGGATGGAGCCAAACAAAGCAGGCCAGAAGCAGGCGAGTCAGGAATCAAATAACGGTTTAATTAATTTCAAAGTGAGGAAATCAGGTTTGCAAACCAAAGTCTTCCTGAGGAGGGCTTATGGCTTATGGCAGGGGTAGGGCTTTTATGTGTGAAAAACCACAAAAGGCAGGACCACAACACAGTCATTCTTAGGTCTTGAGTAAACATTTTCCACGGTTAGTATTTCTTGGGACAATTCAGGTGTTCTTGGGTCCTATGTGAACAATCCCCAAGTTAATGAAATCATTCAGTCAGGTACAGAACCAGAATTAGCATGATGGGAGCAGGATGTTAGTATGGCAGGAACAGGAGTGCAGCATCTGGTTCGGTTCACTTAGTGGTTATACAAACACAGGAATTGTCAGTGTCAGGAAAAGTAATTGATATCTATTAATATTACAATCATAAATCCCTCAGTGGACACCTGGTACTGGTCAAAGTAATACATTTTGCCAGAGGGTGAGATCATCCAGTGGATGAGCACAAAGGATTGTTATTATGCCAAGCTCAGGGCACAGCCTGCTTGCTGGGCCTTAGCTCTGTAAAAACAGGGTGTCTCCTAAAATCTCGACAATGCAGAGGATTCCTTCATCTATATATCTAGCCCTAGTTTCTCTTCTGAGCTCCAGGCACCCGTCATTAACTGCCTCTTGGACATCTCGAATTGGACATCCAATAGGCATCTCAAACTCAGTATGTCCAAAACTGAACTCATTATCTTTCCCTCCAAATTCTATCTATATTCTTTCAAACTTCCCTATTTCTGTTTGTTTGTTTGTTTGTTTTTAATATGGAAAGCTTCACAAATTTGCATGTCATCCTTGTGTAGAGGTCATGCTAATCTTCTCGGTATTGTTCTAATGTTAGCATAAGTTCTACCAAAGTAAGCACTTACCTATTACTATTGAGGATACCACCATCCTCCCAGTTACCCAGGCTTGAAACCTAGGTATCATGCTCAGTTCTTCACTTTTTCTCACACCCCTCCCCTTAGTTTATATGCAATCTGTTGCATGTGTCTCCTATATTAGAATGTGTGCTCCTTGAGGGCAGGTACCTTGTTTTTGTCTTTCTATCTATCTGCAGAGTTCTTAGCACAATGTCTAGCATATAGTGCTTAATAACGGCTTATTGACTGACTGACTAGCTGGTGTGTAGCAGGGGCTTTACCCTGGAGTCAGTTGTGTGTGTGTGTTGAGGAGGTTGGGGGTGTGAACTGGAGGATGTAGGAACATTCATTTCTGTGCCCAGCTTTGTGATAATTGACAACCAGGCATGAGTTTGTCGAGTTATGCCGAGCTAATGGAATGTCTATGTAATGGTCAGTCGCAAGCACATAGAAGGATTCCTACCTTATGCCTTTTTTTTTAAGGCAATTGGGGTTAAGTGACTCGCCCAGTCACACAGCTAGTAAGTGTCAAGTGTTTCAGATTTGAACTCAGGTCCTCCTGACTTCAGGGCCGGTGCTCTATCCACTGTGCCACCTAGCTGCCCTTATCTTGTGCCTTTAAAAGGAGTCTATCACTCTCCAGCCCCAGCACCTTGAAATGATGGGTAGTTAGATAAACAAAATCCTGTATGTGTATTGAAACCAAGTCTGTTTACAATTTCTTTTATTTCAGTAATAGGATAAGCCAACCTGGGGTTAGGGTAGATGGAGGCAAGGTTGGAAGATTGGGAAAGAAGATTGAAGAAATTTTTAAAAATTATTCTGAATTTAACAAATACCAAATAAAATGGGTACATCTATAGACACATAAGAGAAAAAGAATTGTACACAAAACTGCAAATCTCTGTTATGTACAGTTTGCTTTTCAAGTATATAATAAATTCAACATGTAACTTTCAAAGCTAAAACTGAAGAAATTAAATCACAAGAGCTAAGAATAGTCTGTTCAATGGAACTCTTTAAATTACAGAGTTTTAGGAAAATGAGACTTGTTTGGCTTGGTAGCTGAAAAGATAAAATTATGAATAACTCTAATGGGGAATATGATTAGTTCTGGATGAAAGTATTTTACCCTATAGATTAATGATCACCTTCCTCACTTCAACTTTTAGTAGAATGTCAGCTCCTGAGGCCTGTCTCAATTTTGTATTTTATTTGTATTCCTAGCACCTAGCACAGTACTTAATATCTAATGCTTTTGGCTTAATTAATCAATCAGTTGTCTGGTTGAAAGGTCTGTATTGTGCAGTTTCTCATTGTTGTCTGGGCTGGGTGGCAAGATATAGATCAGGATGACTGGAGATGGCCCAGGATGCCATGGCAAACCTCGGCCTTTTTAAGCTAAGGTCTATCTCAGGTCTTAGTTTGACTGAGGCAGAGCTCATTCAATGATTAAGGCTAGGTAAGAAATGAGGCAAAGGATGACCTCTTCTACCTAGTCAAAAAAAAAAAAATCAATCTGGGAGGGGAAGACCCTCAGGGTACAGTTGCTATTTACATTTACTATTTACATTCTCATAATCTGGCCAAGAATGGCTTTCCTCTGGAAGAAGCTATCCTCTTTGAGGTGAGAGGCTGTTAGATTCTGCCTAGTAAGATTTCTCACAGAAATTACAAAAGAAATTGAAAAAAAAAAGCTTCTGAACTTTTAATAGGCAAACAAAGATCATACTTACTAACAGTGAATGGAAAATTTTCACAGAAAAATAATAACTGAACACATGAGCAAAACAGGTTAAATACACTATGCTTAATTCAAGTTTTTCTTCTCCTTAGGAAGAGATTCTCCTCAAATAGGGGATGCCTTGTGGCTTTACCACATTTATTAATAAATGGATCCATTCCCACATAGGAGTTCAGTCCATCACAGAATCAGAATTTTTAGTTGGAAGGGACCTCAGTAGCTATCTTGTTCAACTTATATGCAAAGGGAATCCCTGATCTAACGTACCTCACATGTAGTCATCTAGTCAGTGCTTGAAGACTTCCTAGGAAGGGGAACCAGCACCTCCCAAGGCAGCCCTTTCCACTCTCAGTACACTCTAATTCTTAGGAAGTTTTTCCTAATATCAGCAAGAAGTCGGCTTCTGCACCTTACCCCCACTGCTCCTGCTTCTTCCCTTTGGGGCCAAACAGAACAAGCCTAATGCCTCTTTCACATGAGAACCTTTCCAGTACTCATACACAGCTGTCCCCCTTATCCTGTCCCCCTTAATCCCTCTTCTCCAAGATGAACATCTCCAATACTGTCACCCGATCCTTGGACTCAAGGCCCATTACTTGGTTGCCCTTTTCAGGATGCTCTTCAGCTCATCAATATCCCTTCTTAAATTGTGGTGCCCAAAATTGAACGCAATACCCCATATTCACTGTAAGAATTAATCTGCTTTAGAAAAAGCATTTGTTAACCTGACTCTGATTGAAACTGAGTATCTGACAAATGGCCATACCATCATTTTCTACCATGATGTCTCAGTTTTCATATAGACTTATTTCTATGGACAGAAATCCATGACACCTCAAATCATGAGGTGGGTTGCAGCTATCACATAGAGCACTGGCCAAAAAAAAGTCCACCCAAAAAAACCTGTGCTTCAATCCTTGATCAAGCACCTTGAGGACAGCAGGAAAGTATAGGGGCCCTCATAATCAGTAAACTTCCTGAGAAGACAATTGGAGGGACTTGTCTGATACATCCCATAAGGATCAAGCTCCTCTACCTAGCCAAATATCATAATGAAAAGGAAACCCCAAGCCAGGTAGGCCTTTTTGGTTTTTGAAGGTAGCACATTTTCCATATAGGCATCCTTCTTAGACCAATCTATTCGGTTATGAAGAAAGCTTCAACAGTATGGTATAATGGAAAGAGTGTTGAATTTGAAGTGAAACCTGGGTTCAAATTACACATTTTCTACTTACTATCTTTGTGACCCTCAGTAAGTCACTTTCCCTTCTGGGGCTCAATTTCTTCATCTGTAAAGTGAGACAGTTGGATTAGATGACCACTATGGTCCTTTCCAGTTCTAGGACTATAATTCTATGAATCTTTGAGGACACATAATGGGTCCTACTGTCCCCATTGCACTAGTGGCCCACAAGGTTTCTATAGTCAACAGTGGTCTCAGTGTCTGAAATCTTGTAGGCTTATAAGTGAGAAGTGATTGTGTTGTTCTTGGGATGTGGTTCTGTCTTGTCCTCAGCAGCCAAGAAATACTTCTGCATTAGAACAGTTGCTAATCTTCCATTTGGCACTCGTTGAAAGTGAGCATTTGACAAATGACCCTGTACCCTGATGTCTGAATCATGCAATGGGTATATTCTGAACCAGTCTTTCATAATGTCATGGTCCAACAGAGTAACAATGAAAATGTTATATACATGACTGAGCCCTGCTGGGATGGACCATCAGGAACTAATGCCATATATGAAATAACAGGCCAAAAGCCCCTAAGTACCACCTCCACCATTGACCTGATCCTTTAGCCAGTCCTCTAGTGTAATGAAGCACCATATTCAACAACCCCTTGAAGTCCATATTGGACCTTAAAAAAAAAAGCTATCAATGCCTTCTCTGTTTATATTTTTTTCCTATTTTTATGTGATCTAACCTAACTGTTCTTCCTTTCTTTGTTTTCTTGAATACTGTTGTTACTTTTACAAGTATCAGAGACTGTGATGTTGGAGTACAAAGATAGTGACTCCACTGTTGACTCATCTTGAGTATGACCTGTTGATTCTTTCTCTTCCCTCTGATTTAATCACTTTGCATTTTCCAAAAGGTGGGAGCTAGTCTAAAAAAAATTCCAGTAATGCTTAAATATCAGGCTACATGGAAGTCCCGTGGGAGTAGAGAAACTGTTTTACTCCCTGCCTGTTCCCTTTTTGCTTCCATGGATCAGTTCTATTGCTTTTTCTATTTAGAAGGCTCCTATTTTTTCCAGGAACAGATGGACAGGACAGGACTTCCTAGATTCAAACCCGAATGAGTGAGTTCCAAGGGAGCTACACTGACTCACATATTCTCTGGAATGAAAACTCTGATTCCCACATTCTTCTGTGGGTCTCAGCTGCAGAGCACACGAAGTTGAATTCAACAGTAATATTGTCTGTAGGTGATCTTCAAGGTCCCAAGTACACCCCTAAATATTAGGGTATAGTCTATACTGTATTCTCATTCACCTTTTACCATATTGCCTAGGAATTGGTCCCTAGTTGTTTCATGGATATGTTTTGTATTTCCAAGTAAATTGTAAGTTCCTGGAGGGTATTTTCTTTTCTCTTTTTTTTTTCATTTGGTGGCAATTGAGGTTAAGTGACTTGCCCAGGGCCACACAACTACTAAGTGTCTGACGCCAGATTTGAATTCAGGTCCTCCTGACTCCAGGGCTGGTGCTCTATCCACTGCA